AGAAGGAAGGGATAAATGAAAGGGGGGAAATTGGAGGGAGAGATGAACCATGAGAGACTATGCACTCTGGGAAACAAACTGAGGGTTTTGGGGGGGGGGGATTGGTTAGATTATGGGATAATATCAAAAGCAGCAAGAATGCCATATAAGCAATATCATCTTTAAGCTGCGTTAAAGCTAAATTTTACACTGAAGCAACATATGTAAAAGTGAGTTATAAACTGTAAATATATGTATTATATATTCAAACTTCTGCACAGGAGAAGAGAAATGTAAATGGATGCTTTATTTTTCCAACTATGAATAACAATAATCGTTATTTTTTGTAAGATAAAGCTAAAAATGACAAGTTTATGAAAGAAGGAAAAGCAGTGTACATACAGTACACTGAAAAAGCAAATACATTTACTCTTTTCCAGCAATACTATTCAGAAAAATATAATAAAATTAAAACCTGTTTTTGAAAATAAGGCATAGAAATAAAAAAGGAAGTGTGCAACCTATTGTTAACACCCTTTATTAATTATAAACTCCTTTCCAATCAACTAAGATGACACTATAAAAGTGTTTGGGGGGGTGCAGAAGAACATATGGAAAAGAAAGGATAGCTCCCTTTACTTTTCCCTGGGAAATGAAGCTGAAAAAGGGAATAGAGCCATAGTCTCAGGACTCATGTGGCCAGCAACGGCCAATGCTGAAGTCCAAATTGTCCATGTACTGTCTGGACTTTTGCCAAGGCCTGGAGGCAATTTGTGATAACCAATGAACATCCCAATGAGCAATGAACCAAATGCAAAAGATACAATAACTCTATTTTATGAGGAGAATGGGATTCAAAGACAAAATGACTTTTCCCACCTGGTGCAAATAAATAAATATTAGTCTGGTACACTAAAGTGGTCCAAAAGGGTGACTATAAAATATACCTTTTGAGAGACATTTTCTCTTCCAGTTCATTCAAAATGCTACTTTAATTTTTAAAACTCTCACAGCATATAAAAATATTATTTTCCATTTAAAAAAAGTCACAATTAGAAATAGGGTCACCGTTATTTTATTAGTTGTTTAATCCAATTACTTATCAACAACGGCTATGAGGGGAGAAATTCTCCACAACAAACGGAACTTTTATACTAGCACAATCAAGGAATACAGAACAACAGCCATTTTAACTTCTATCCTGAGACTTTCATACTCCTTGGGAAACAACTTGCTTTACACAACATGATTTTATTATAATACAACTTTATTTTCAACTACATCTTTCATGTTATAAAATGTTCAACAAAGTTAAATAATACAATTACAGAGAAAGCAATAACAGTGGAAAAGAGAAATTAAGAGGTATAGACAAGGGAGAACATATGTTTTCTACTGAGATTTGAAGTGAGATGGGGAGTCGATGAGGCGGAGAGAAGCAGGATGGCAGGAACCGCAGAGAAGATGGCTCCTGTTCCGGCACCGCAAAGAGGAGAAAGGCAAAGGACTGCCCATAAAATAAACAAAAGGAGGCCATCAAAATGAACTCGAAACAGGACCACGCCAAGGCCAAGTTCACAGTGGGATGAAAGAACCTAGAAACAAGCTTAAAAGCCCAAGAGGATTCTCAACTTAAAGTGAAAAGATAGAGGAGAAGCAAAAAGGACAGGCAACAAGGCACAGCCAGATACTGAAGACAAGTCACAACGCAGTCCTGCCGCAGAACGGCCCACAGACACAAGCCGATGAAGTGATGGGGAAAGACGAGGGTCTAGGCAGCTCCGCGGCATCACACCAAAATGTAACAGAGTGCATAATGTGGTAAGAAATCAAGATAAAAAGGCCAAACCTGGTAATGTTATCATTTCTGAATCCTGCCGAAACTGATCAAGAGACGCTATTTTGAGGAAGGGACTTTTCTGGACAAGTCTAGAAATCCAGACATCGGTGAATGGAGGAAAATATCAATCAAGAAGAGGGGAATTATATTCGAATTCAGTGCAGCAGCTGCCCCTCACAACCAGCCCTCTTTCCTGGCCTGCCCCCTCTATGCTTCTAGACAACCGCGGGCTCTTCTATCTCCTTCTGCCTGTCTGATAACTTCTCCTTCCCGGGCCTTCTTCCTCTTCATTCTCAAATATATAGAGGTACCATTAAGAGAAGGCCAACTTTTAATAAAATGACACCCAAGAATGTTCCACCTACCTTGGCACGTCTTCTCCCCCTGTCCCTTCCATTTCCACACTCCCCACCTTTGCTGTAGAACATCTGCCTCACCCCCAGCCACACTCGTGCTTGCATACCTCAGCATCCTCAAGTCTTCCACTGAGGTTGGGCTGCTCTGGAATGCCCTGTTCTTCCCCACTTGGCAGCCTCTTATTCATCCTTTAAGGTCAGGTACAGACTTGGTCTACCACTCACTTTTTCTCTGCTCTTACATTTTTGTGTGCCATTCTTACGTGGTGAGATTTTCTTCTACCCCAATAGACTATGAATTCCTCAAGTTCAGAGAATGTGATTTAATCATAACTACACCCTTAGGGCTTAGCACATGCCAAGATATGCTCAATAAGCATTTGTTCTGGTTTTTTTTTGAAGATGGGCAGAGAAGATGGCGGGACAGAATTAAAATAAACACAGAAATGAAACCAGGGACTCTTCAAGATAAGAACACGAGGACCGAAAAATGAAGCAAAAAAAGTTCCATATCTTGATACAGAGCAAAAGAGGGGAAAAATGGATAATAAAAACCGAAACACAATAGGTAAGAATCAAATGCATGACTTTCTTTGAAGCCATCCAATAAGGAATAGTATACATATTGAAATTTTACCGTTCAAAGAGAATGTAAAAAAGTAGTAACCTCTGTTAGTACAAAAGCAGCCCCTGAACACATAAAAGAGACTTGACCTTGGCTACAAAGAAACTCTGATTGAAATTAAAGAAAGATCCATGAAAGAGATGATTGGAGAGGTAAAAGGGAACTATTTTCTCAAATACAATGAATTTTTTTAACACTCCAAATCTGTGTTAAGACCATAGAATGATTAAGAAGAACTGAAAAACTATGAGTAGAAAAGAAGTTTTTAGAAAAAGTGATAACCTGGAGCGCCTGGGTGGCTCAGCCGTTAAGCGTCTGCCTTCAGCTCAGGTCATGATCCCGGGGTCCTGGGATCAAGCCCCGCTTCGGGCTCCCTGCTCATCGGGAAGCCTGCTTCTCCCTCTCCCACTCCCCCTGCTTGTGTTCCCTCTCTCCCTGTGTCTGTCAAATAAATAAATAAATAAAATCTTTTAAAAAAATAAAATAAAATAATGTACCAATGTTAGTAAGGAGACTACTGGGGATGGAATATTACTTTACATGCCTCTCTTCCTCAAGTAAATTCTCCTCCAGTTAAAACACTTTTATTCTGATTACAGTTTTTATTCAACAAGGCTCCAATATAGAATAAACATGTAAAGTTCTTAACTGAGCCAAGTGTATGGACAGGGAACACAGAGCTTCCTAGCTAGCTTCAAAGCTTCTTGAAAATCCAGGCAAATAGAGCAAAAGAAAGCAGGGGAACCACTCAGGAAGAAAAAACCTAAAGGCTGAGGAAAAATCCTGAAAACCAAAAAGACTGAAGAGAGAAAACAAATCTCTCTAGCTACTAAAACCATAAAGGATATTGAATTTACTTTGTTCAAACACTAACTATACATTTTTGTACAGTAAAATAAAGAACTTTTACCTAATAGAAATATATTGAATTTACACTTAGCCTTCCTAACAAAAATCCAACTACAAGATCATAGGTATGTCACTGCTCACTATTGATGCTAAAAGAGCAATTAACTAAAATGGTATAATATTGTTAAATTAACTTTGGTGTGCAATTTACATTCCAAAAAAAAAAAATGTACTCCATTTTAAGTGTGTAGCTTAATGAGTTTTGACAAAGACATATACCAATGTCACCACCTCCAGAATCTAAATATAGAATATTTCCATCAGCCCAAAAGGTTCATTGCTGCTCCCTCCCCATCACCCATCTACTTCCTGCACCAGATAAAAACTAACCTGCTTCTTATCACTATAAATGAGACTGTCCTTTATTCTAGAGTTACACATAAGTGAAATAATATGGACGTATTCTTTTGTGTCTAGGGTATTCTGCACAGCCTATCTTTAGATTTATCCCTGTTGTTATGTGTATCACTAGTTTGTTCCTTTTTATTGCTGAATCATATCCACTATATGGACATATCCACTCACCTGTTGATAAACATTTGGGTTGTTTCTTGTGCCAAAGTGTTTCTAAAATGGCTGCCAACATTTTACATTTCCACCAGCAATATATGAGACTTCTAGTTGTTCCACATCCTCATCAGTAGTCAATGTTGTCAGTCTTGAACCATTCCAGGGGGTGGGTGGTAAATACCTTGTTTTAATTTGCATTTCTCAATTGACTAGTAATGATGTGGAGCATTTTTTCATGTCTTTATTTGCTATTTGTATCTTCTTTAGTGAAATGTCTATTTTACCCATTTTTTTAGAATCAGGTTTTTCTTGTTTTCCTATTATTGAGTTGTAAGAGTTCTTTGTACATTCTAGATATAAGGTTTTTATCAGATATATGTTTTGCAAACATTTTCTACCAGTCTGTGCCGGGCTTTTCATCTATTTGATATATTTTAAAGAGAAAACTTTTCAATTTTTATTAAGTCCAATTTATCATTTTTTTTCCTTTTATGGCATATTTTTGTGTATCCTAGCGAACATTTTACTTAAGAGCAATGTCAAGTATAATTTCAAAAGGGTAAACTCTGGGACAGATAATATTTAATACCTTAAACCTGGGAACAGTTAATTACAGATTAATGAAATTTTAAGATGATACCAAATTGGATGCTGCAAACACTTCCAGTGGGAATGCAAAATGGTACAGCCACTTTGGAAAACTTTGGCAGTTTATTATAAAGCTCAACATACCCTTACCAAACCATCTAGCAATCCTACTCCTACATTATTTATCCAAGTGCACTGAAAACCTATTTGCAAACAAAAACCTGTATGCAAATGTTTATATATTTATTCATAATCACTCCAACCTGGAAACATGAATGATGTCCTTCAACAGGTGAAAGGATAAAACACCACACATCCATACAATAAAATAGTACTTAGTAATAAAACAGAATGAACCACTGATTTAGCAAATAGCACAGATGAATCTTAAAATGATTTTGTAAGGGAAAGAAGTTATACCCAAAAGGCTACATGTTATAGAACTTCATTTATAGAATACTCTGAAAAAAGCAAACTATAGGGAAGGCAAACAGATCAGTGATTGCCAGGAAGTTAGAGGAAAAGACGGGTTGACTCCAATGACTACAACGGGCCCACACAAAGGAATTCCTTGGGTGATAGGACTGTTCTGTATGCTTTTTGATTTCAGTCTTTGTTTTGGACCAAAACAAAGTCAAGTTGGAGATTTAACATCCTCATATTGGCTTATTTATGGGGGTCCTACTTTATTAGTCTGTTCTTGACCAGCACACTCTGAAAGCTATCTATTAGTTGACATGTCCTGCCCACTCATTGTGTCTAGGACAAAGCCCAATCACAGAGGCCCTTCCATTCACCTGGCTTTAGGGAACTACCCCTCTGGAAGAGAAGAACAGTGACCTTCATGACTTCACAGAGATTCCCAACCAGGAACAAATCAGCCAACACAGATCTGCATTTATATGTAGGAGTAGAATTACCTATCTTAAAGACAAGGAAATAAGTTGGGCAATTAGAGCAAATGGTCTCCAGTAAAAGTTAGTAAACAATAAGGAAGTAGTTTTAAAATCATAATTGTTATCTTTAGTGTGAATTAATAGAGTATAGGATTCACAAAACAAGGAGAAACTATTTTAAAAAAATTTTAAGGTCTTCGAAATCAAAAACATGGTGGCCAAATTAAAAATTTAAATGAAAAAAATGATGAGTAACTTAGAACACAGATACAAGAAACCTAATGCCTATATAAAATGAATGCAAGAGACTGAAGCTGATAGAAATTCAAGGAAATGCTAGAAGATAATGTAATATTTCAGGAATTCTAAAGAAAAAAACTGACTCAAACTCTTATTCACATAGAAAAACAAAAAACACAATGAAAAATGTTTCTGGACATGCAAATATACTTCCTGTAACTCTTCTTAAAAAAATCTTCAAGAAAATATTCCAGTCAAAAACCAAAGAAAGTAAGTATTTTCAAAAGGGAAAGATGTAATATTCAAGTTACTAGTGACCTTACAGTCAAATTTAAGTCTTTACAGATACAGTACTGGTGAAGATGAAAAGGATGGTTACGGGGAAAAAAACACAAGTAATGTAAAAAAAAAAAAATCAAATCAATAAAAGCATGTAGGGAAGGCAAGGAGTTACAGCCTCACGTTATTGAATGGAGGTATAAGGGAACAGTTATAGATGATTTTAGAATTTCTGAACTTGTAAGGGAGAGAAAAAAAGGTAAATATGAATAGATTAAATTATCCTATTAAAAGATAAAGTCTTTTGCACAAGGGATCTTTGTAATGGAACTGTTCTGTATTTTGACTGTGGTGGTGGTCACAAGATATACATAATATTGCAGAGAATTAAATGCAAACACACACAAGTGCATGTAAAAGTCATGAAATCTGGATAAGGTCTATAAATTGTACCAATGTCAATTTCCTGGGTGTAATACTGTCCTATAGTTATGCAAGATGTTACCACAGGAGGAAACTAGGTGAAGCATACATAGGATTTCTCTATATTATTTCTTATAATTGCATATGAATCTATAATTATCTTTTTTTTTTTTTCCCCAGAGGGAGGAGACGGGCTGAGGGAGAAGGAGAGAGAGAATCTTAAACTGGCTCCACACTCAGCACAGAGCCCAACGCGGGGCTTGATGTCATGACCCTGAGATCAGGACATGAGCCGAAATCCTGAAATCAAGAGTCAAACGCTTAACCAACTGAGCCATCCAGGCGCCCCTCTATAATTATCTTTCTAAAAAAAGTTTAAAAATGCAAAAAAATAAAATTTTGAATTAGGAGGAGGGAAAACTAGAGAGAGAAATAAAAGTCCAGCTATATGATGTTTGATGTTTAAAAGAGGCAAGTAAAGCAAAATGATGTGGAATGACTAAAATTAAACATATGAGCAATAAAGATCTGGTACACACAAAACTGACAGAGATGGCAACAGTAATATCAGACAGTGTTGACTCCAAGGCAAAAATCATCAAACAAGGCAAAAAGGATATTTTATATTTTGTAAGACAAAAATCCAAACAATTACACATAAGATGAATTCAACCAAACTGACAGTCACAGAAGGAAACCAACATATTTTGCTCCATTT